CCTAATTTTAGGCCCCCACTTTTTAACTGTTTGAACTGTTAATTGAGATAGCACCAGTGAAAGCCCTTTGTAAAGGGCCAAGGAGCAACACATATGTTAATTACCCTTCTGAAGACATTTGTGTACTTAACTATTCTTATCTTGTTTGTAAGTACCTCCTTTCCCTAGCTATTGTGGATTGCAAACTGCTCCGGAGGGAGACTTGCAGCATTTTCCAAGTCGTTCCCTTGCAGTCCCCAGAGGGAGCTTACCATCCCCAACGTCCTTGGGCAGCAACCAGCCTGCGCAGACGCCCAGGACCTTGGACCTGCTCTTCTCTGTCAACCCCCAGGACTAAGAAGAATTCCTTACAGCACAGCCACCTCCTCTGTCTCCTCTCCAAGCTCTTCCCCTAACGGCGTCCTTAACCTTGTAGCTTGTCTTCGCTTATAGAATGGAGATTAACGTGAATGCCTTAAAACCCCCCACCAAAAACTAACCACGAGACAACTTGGTATTTAAAGAGGAAACGAATTTTAAAATGAACTCTGCTTTCATTAGAAAAGGGGCAGGTTTAATCCTCTAGAGTCAGGCCTCAGGTTTCCTTGCTGAGGTCGCTGATGGTGAACTAACTGCACCAGGGTTCCAGTGAGCACAGCAGGAGGACAAGGGCTAGGATTTCCTTGGTGTTTAAGAGTTCCTAACTGATGTGCCTGTGTGGTCCCTCGTTGCTTTAAGCCTAGAACTCTGGCTGCTGAGACTCAGCAACTGCTCGCAGTTACAACACTTAGGATTTTTCTCCCCACCTCTGCATTTAGTTTTTCTGCACATCCTCATGTCTACTGCTCATCTCACATCTGCCTGTTACTGAAACAGCACTTATGCTAAGAAGCAAAATAAAGGTTAAGGGAAGTACACGCAGGCAGAGAGCTCAAACTCCCAATTCCTCCGCCTGCTCTGCTCCCAGAACTAAAGTCATCTCAAATCTGAAAACCATGTCTCCTGATCAATGGTATAAGCTGACAGCAGACAATAACAATATCATTCGAGGCTTTGACACTTACCGTCTTGTACCTTGTGTTTTTGTGTACACACTCACAAAGGCAGGTACTAGGTAACCGGTGTGGTGCTCTACGCAAATGAGCAAAGGCCAGAGAGCCCAAGGGGTGTTTCATAAATACTTGTTGACTGATGGATAGAATCTGCTGACCGAGGATACCTGAGACCACGAACTCCTCGTCAGAGCACTCAGGTGCCTTGTGGAGCCCATTTTCATTAACAAGTGCTTTTCCCACACTGAGAGGAAGAGGCCAGCCAAAACCCTGTCCATCTTGGAGCTCAGGTTCACAAAGGTGGCCTTAAGGCCTCACCTTTCACACCTGCTGTCCGCGCAGCAGCAGCGGAGACAAGGACAGATCTCTACAAACAGTGTGTGCAGGCAGTTGGAGGCCTGCGCCTGATGTCAGTGCAGCTTCGTGTCACCTCTGACTCTTGACTGCTAGCACAGCTGCACCTACGAGTTTATGGGCCATTTCAAGAGGAAAAACAAAACCCGAGCTGAAGAAAAACAAGGAGGAAAGCAGGTATCGTAAAGGACTGACACTACCTGGGCAGACTTCCTACCTACCTCATCCTGCCAAGAGGCTTTCTTCATAGCATGAAAGCCCAAGCTCCTCGCTCCACATTGCAGTAGGCATCCACGTCCGTCTGAGTCAGGGGGTCAGTCCCGAAAGGAACCTGGGCTATGCCCCTTGTCTTTTCCTTTCAGCCTCTTCCCCTCTCTCCTTGCTAGGCCATTCAGCTGGAGTTGAGGCTGATTTAGTGAAAATGGGAAAGCCTTCTCCCTGTTCTGCCGTGCCCTTGGGGTTCTGTGCTCACCTGGCCTAACTTCCCACTGCAGCTTTCTCTTGCCTTTGAGGTCCTGCCTCTCTGTGCTCCTCTGACAGCTTTGTCTCCACTGCCCAGAAGCTTCTCCCTTGTCGGGGTTCTCTGCCTCAGCCAGCTCCAGTGTGCAGCTGTACCTAGAGATGTCAAGAGTGCCCAAACTATGCTTTCAACAACCAACCTGTCTTGCACTTATATGATCTTTTCATTAATCAGGATCCTCTACCCCTGGCAGTGTCCCCCACCTACTTCCGCACTGATACTATTTTATTTTAGAAAATGTAAACACCTGCCTTTCTTTCCGTCTCTTGTTATCAGTAGGAGCGTAGGAAGAAAAGAAGAGAAAATGCACACAAGTCTGACCCTGCTCATTCTGCTACATGGAATTCTTTTCAGCTCAATGACTAAATCCTCTTCTCCCAGTTCTTACTTAGAATCTTGAGCACCAGATCTTGAATTTCTATGGCGCTCCCTGAGCGTGGGACTGGCTGGTCGCCATGTGATATTGATTTGTTTTCACCATAGCAACAGCAAATTAAAACAACCAGCGGAGAGAAGGCAGGCTTCCTAGCAGCACGGCTGCATGACCAGTATGCTTCCCAAGCAGATTTTTCTTCCTTCCTCTTGTTTTTGTCCTTATCCATTTTACTTTCACAAATTTAATACAAAAGCCAAAGTAAAAATAGTACTAAATGCTTTGGGCACTACAAGGCCTATGTCTAGGACAGTCTGTCTTGCTCAGCTTCTAGTATATTAGACTAGATCTGTGGAGAAAATGCAAAATGACAATTCTCTAATTTCCCCTTGGAATTGTAATTGTTGGGCTACGGATAAATATCTCTAGAAAATTCTCAGGAGCACAAAATGAAGGGTTGGGTATGAATGATAAGGTATCCAATCACCCGAAGGCATCACCAACAATTACTTATTGCTAAGCTTTCTTCCCTTTGTACTTTAAAGAACTCATTGTGCCAAGAGGCAACTTATGTTTTCTTTCCTCACTTTTTTTTTTTTTTTTTTTTGTACAAGGTCAAGGTCTCCACAAGAGCTGGCGTCAGGAGAGAAAGTATTATTCATTCCTATTAGGAGCTAGGAAAATGAGCCAGGCATCTGCTCAAAGCTCAAGTAAGTGGTAGGATGGAGGATGCGAACTAGCGCTGGGAATTCCCGGGAACTCCGGTGTGTTCTAACCAAAATTGTATCTTAAAAGAATCCTTCATAAGCTGTAATCTTCCCCCTCATCCTCGGGACCAAGAATGCCACCTGTGACACAGGATTAGCAGTCGGTAGTATTATGCTGTCCCTCCTCCAGGGCCATCAACCCTAGAACGCAGTACATTCTCTTTAAAAGCAGCTGTTGCCACCGTCACAAGCAGCCTTGAACTTGGTGCCATAACCTGCACCCTAGACAACAGCTCTTGTGGGACCAGGAATAGGGCTCTGGGGACAGTCCTCACAGGTGGCTGTGCTGGGCTGCATCAAGGGGGAGTTAGGCCAGAAAAAAGCCGAGCTCGGCTTCCTATTGCTTTTCTCCAGCCAGGCCAGAACCCTGCAGAAAACCTGTTCTGACCAGCAGGTAGAAGATGGTGCCCTATTTACAAAGGGGCTCTGTTCATGATTTACAAAGAACAAGCTACAATTCGAAGACATAACTCAAGTACTGCCAACGGGGAGTTACAAGGTCCCTGCCCAGGACTTAGAGAAATATTCTTCTCCAGCGGCCTGCATAAAAGAACACACAGCAGAAATAGTTGGGGGATTACGTCAGAAGTTCTGGGCTAGTGTCCTGCGCTTCTCCTTGAAAGTAAAACTGTGAGTCTAGAAGAATCTACGTGGCACTGCCGTTATTTAAATGAGCTCTTTCACCTTCCTAAAGGATCAGGATGGCTGAAAAAACTCCCTCTTACGTAAAGATTATAAGGATGTCCCCTGCCTTATTCTTTTTACCCTATTGTCCCCGATAATGTGCAATTAACAAATATCTTTCGACTCAACCTTTGTCTTGGAAAGAGACAGTACTATTCCTTGAAGAACATTCACGGTTGTTGTGGTTAGGCTAGTCAGGATTTTTTTTTTTCTTCCTTCGCTTCAGTGCTTGCTAACTATTCTAAAAATGTTACACATTTATTGTAAACACATGCTTCCGAGGCCTAACAAAAAAGCACAGTTTCCTCATGCCTGGCAGAAATTTAAAACGGGAAAGGGCAGAAAGAATTCCTTAACAAATATATCCTTTTCTCCTCCTGGGCCAAGTGTGTTAAAAATAAATCTTCTCCATCATTTCTCACTGCTGCTTGTCGGCAAGAAAGTTGATATGGTTCGGCATAGTGAAAACACAGCTTTAAAAGCTAGCCTGCTCTCATTAAATTATTCTGCTGGCTGTGTGTTCTCATTAAAAATGCATACAGATCAGATAATTGCAGTAAGCATTATTAACCCAGCTTTACTTTAGAATATAATGGTTCCACTTTCACGGTGGAAACAAAAGGCTCGGACATGCCAGGAAAAGAAATGTAAACATTGAACTACAGTATCGAAAACTTGCCAGAAAGCTGCCTCTTGCTAGGGTGTTAAAAATGTATCTTTGAAACTCAATTCAAGCCGCAGCATTGTAGAGCCAGGCAAGCCCCTAATTTCCAATACACACCTATTTTGGGCCCAAACATTCAGTCAGTGATTATTTACTACTAAGATTTCTTTCTTTTCTTTTTTTTTTTTATTCTTAACTGCAAGTCTGTTTTCGAATAACAGGACGAGCATAAACTTTACCTATTCCGGAACTAACTACAGCTGCTGGAATATTTTCTATAACACAAAAATAAGAATGGTCTCAAGATTTCAACTGATTAAAAAAGAAAGAAAGAAAAAGGAAATGGTTCTATTCTTTGAATAAAAACTCGGCTGTACGCCTCATCCCCAAACAGGCGGCGAAAACTGAAGCTTTGGCCATTTCTTTTTCTCAAATCAAAATGTTACGTAAAACTCCAGGGTTCCCTGCAAGTATTACATTTGAATTAGTGGAATCCGGTTTCCCCGGCTTCCCTAAGGAACACACATGGAATGCAGCACACTGCAGCAAACTCTTTAAACATTCAAAAAAAAAAAAAAAAAAAAGGTGGTGGGGGGTGATCGCCTACCTTGTTTCGTTCTGCTCCTCCTTCCCCTGTACAGTAACCCCGGGAACATCTGGCAGAATCGAGCGGCCCAGGCTTCTCCACTGCATCATGAGGAAGAAATTTCCATGCCAATAGTTCTCCTTCCCAGTTTATTGTACTCTGAACGCCGTCTGCCGTATCTGGAAAATTTTACCTTCAGAGGATGAAGCGTAGACAGTCTAAACTCTGTTGCTGTAAAGCTGCAGCCCTTCCTTCCGACAAGCCCCGCCCCGCGGCCGCCAGCCAATCGGCAGCCAGCTCGTCAGCCCTCCTCTTCGGAAGCGGGCGCTCATAGGGTGACGGACACGGCAACACGGCGCTGGCAGCGTCGGAAAACAGCGCATCCATACTGATGAAGGGGGAATTTCCCTCTTCGAAGAAAGCCGTCCTAGCACCAAGACAAAGTGGCACATAATTGGCAGAGCACAGAGAGGGGTAGCGCAGGAAAACACGCTCGAAGACAGCCAGCCCTAAGCTGGGAGCTGCACGGTAGATACTTAGAAAAACACAGAACTCCACAGATTC